ACATATTTTTTTAAATTATTTATCAATATAAAGAAAATTATGGTAAATTTAAAAATGTTTAGTTGCATTGTGTAATTAATTACATATTTGATTTTCATAAATTTATATTTTTCCTAAAAACGGTTTATCATTAAAAGGCGTAAAATTCATTCTTTATTAATGAGTCAACAGAATTTATTATGTTAAAATTTATTGCTCCCAAATATATGTAATATAATGATAATTTGAAAAGTGACCATTGTTTAGACATAGAGACTTTCCATTTTGACCACATATTTGTGCAAGATTTCAATTTTTCTCCATATACTGAATGTATACAGCATTTTGACATTTCTATCATCCCTGACATTCTTGATTCAGTTTTGAGAGAATGTTCAATGCAACGCACAAGATCGTTTGTTTTGAGGATTAATAACATTTGCCTATTCACCTTGTCTAGTACATTACTAATCTGTGCCAATAAGTTTGGTATTTCTTTTTGAAATTTTTCTTTCTCTTGCGTATCATACTTGGTTTTTTGAACACCAGCCACAATTGCATCCCAAGATCGTCCTGACACCATACAAGCTAGCAATCCATATAAGTCTCCAACACCCAAGTTAGCACAATGTGTTTGCATTGCAGCTTTATTACCATCAAGTATTGCTAACCAAAGCTTAGAATACTCCCATCGAAATTCATTTGAAAGATTTGCATACAGTCCATGATCTAGAAGTATGATCTCTGCTTCATTATTTTTCTTTCTGACCAACACATTACCAGGGTGAGGATCAGAATGTACAAAACCCACAATGAATATCATATGACTATAAAGTCGACCTAGTTTACTACTAACTTCATACGGATTTAAATTATTGCTTTGGATGTATTTCAAATTATCAACTTGACCTCCCTCTACAAATTCCATTGTTAAAACACGTGATGTTGAAAGATTCCAATATATTTTTGGTATTTTCAACCAATGATAATGTGAAAATATGTTTTGAACTTTTTCTGCATTCTTTCCTTCTTCAGTGAAGTTCAACTCTCGAGGAATATTCTTTTTAGTTTCATCAACAAGCCAGTCAAATTTAAAATCAGGAAAGACTAATGATGTTAATTTTACTAAGGCTGACATAGTTTTTATATCTACATAAGAGTTAGTTTTAACTGCTCTATGTTGAATTTTAACAGCAACAGTATCTCCATTTTTTAACACAGCTTTATGAACTTGTGCTAAGCTAGCAGCACCTAAAGGCTCAGGGTCAATTCTTTCAAATATTTCATATGGATCTTTTTTAAAGTCCTCCTTAATAACAGTAAGTACATCTTTGAAAGATGATTGTGGTGCTGAACTGTGTAATACTCTCATTGTACTGACATATTCTGGTGGCAATAGGTAATCTAGTGCACCAATATGTTGACCTACTTTTATATAAACACCTTTGTTGGCACAGCAAAGTTCTAGCAGCTTTTGTGCTCCATATTTATGTACTTTTGACTTTAAATCAAGATATTCTTGAGTATTTGGACTTAAGTTACTTCCGTACAATTCAGTTTTATAATGTCTGCCAATTATGAAAACAGTAATTGCAGCACGTCCCAATCGTACAATACCTATAGATCCCAGATCATATTCATTTGCTCTTAAAGATGTCAGTGTGCCCAATCCAATTATTCCAAGTGTAGCTCTTTTTAAGAATTTTTTAGATATAAACATTATCAACTAAATGTCAATGAACAAACTATTTGTTTAATTTTATGTATGATAAATCTGAAAATTAAACAAAAATAAGTAAAATGCATATTTATCTTATCTTATCATGATGATTTCATTGTAACCTTTCTAAGTATCAAATTACCTTAAAATATAGTTGAAATCCTGTTTTCCTTAGTAATCTTTCTTTGTCATATAAACGAAATCGTGTATAAAAGTTATATAATGTAGTTGTATTTTTTGACTTACAAATTGTTAATAAGATCCAAAGATCATGTAGTAACCTAGGCTATGTACATATAAAAGATATATGAAACTTTTTATATTAAAAGATTGTGTATCGACAAGATTTTAATTTTTTAATTTTTTTTTCAAAAATGTCCGATTAAGTCTGTTTAATACTTGCTTAATTATTTGCGTTCTCTGGAAAAGTGTCATGATAACCTGTTTTCACTTGGACACTATTAACCTGTACCCATGTGGAATGATAATAAATATGTACCAAATTTCATTCCTATCTATCGATGTTTTTACGCATGTATATCGATCATTTTTATCGATGGATTTATATTTCGATATACTTTACAAATCGTAAAGGTTATTTCTTTGTTGTAATGTTCAGGAAATATTGTATTAAATACAGAATGTTATAAATAAAACATGAATTTATCTACGTAATAATTATAATCTTTTAATAT